AACTTGTTCATTCCTTTGCTTAAAAAGTGGAATCTTTATTTTAATAGGTTTTAGTTTCTTCTTCTCTACTCTTTTCAATTCAGCAGAATCGACTTGCAGATCTTTCAATTCAACATGATTGCACTTTCAAGTACTGCTTTATTTGGGGCAGGTTTATAAAGTGTTAATTTAATCTGATTTTGTATTTATAAGTTTTTATTCCTGCCTTTAAAGCCATTTAAATTCATACTTGAACATCCTTTTATAAAAAGAAGTACAAATCTCACCAAACATTAATTTAAAACCTGTTATTAATGAAGATTTTGGAGCTGACAATTTCGTAGTTGTAGTTAGGTCATTTCAGATCATTTTGATCGGTCAGACACGTTTCAGTCTTCTGCCGGTTCAGTAGTAGGTTTCTGTCAGTGCCTCACCCTGCTTAAGTCTCTGACAACCTGACAGATATCTTACTGGAGATGGCAAACTGCTAAAACGCGACCTTTTTTAAGTTTTAAGTTCCCCCGAGTGTATCTCAACTACAAGGTTACATGAACCCTCGGTGTGTCGGTGTTTAAAAAAAAGCCCATTTGTAAGATTGCGGGTTCGAAGTCAGGACTCTGGATCAAATCTTTACATTACAGTGATGAGTCGTCGAGACTCTAGCTGCTGCGACGATAAACTCTCGATGAATATTATGTATATTTTATATCTCGCTCCTTTCATTTGTAGATGATTGCCAATTAAGCTTGTTTACGAGTTGTCAAGTATAAACAGTGTAGTGAGCCGCACACAATTTGATTTATTTTTGAAAAATGATAGGCATGTTAGGTCTCCTGTCATTAAACACTAGTTAATGTTTCTGTCAGTGGGTTGCTATGTTATTTTAAAAGGGAAGAATGGCGAAATTAAAAAAACTGAAAATTGAAAAAGATGAATATCGAAAGATGATCGAAGATCACATAATTCATCACCTCAAGAGTATCTTATAACTACTATTAGTTAAAGCTATTTTTCACTGGTTATTAGGGTATAAGCAGGGTGAGGTACGGGCAATCAACTCAGTGAACAGGTAAGAACAGCTAGGATAGACATATCAAAATGATCGGAACCTACTGGTTCAACACTTTATGTCCTCAAAAAAAATCTCCCAAAATTGGTTTTGTATAAAACTTTTCGTCCATAAACTTCTTTTGCAAAATGCCAGCGTCATACATGGTTATTAACTTACGTACATAATGTCGTGTTGATACATTACCGAAACCATGTCGGTCGGTTATTGTTACCGGCATCCAGTTGCCGACACCGGCAACGAGGTTAAAGGCCTCGAAGTCCCGTACTCATCTCGATTGAGTCTGGAAAACAACTCCAGAACGGGGGAATGAACCCGGCCACATCGGCTGTGATAGCGGTCACAGCGAGGCCTTCACAGGAGCCAACATTTAAACATGTTTTTTTTTTTTTTGTTAGTACCTTTTCATGTAGTATGTTCCAAATGTTTGTTTTTTGGTGTTTTATGTAATTTAAACTTTTTTTGCATTCTTTCTCTTTTTCATCATACTGCGTTTTCCTCTTTTCTAATTGGACAGCTCACACGGTTTAAAGGGAACAAAACGTAAAATTATAAAAAGTATAAGCTGATATGATGGATAATGTACAGTTCCTTTACAGAATCTTTGCCATTTTTAAAAAGATTTGGTTTATAAGCCTTAAAAAAGTAATTCTTGTCATTCTGGAGGGCTTAACATCCAACTACCCGTCGTGTATCGCAGGCGATCAACTCACGTTACAATATTTTTTTCACATTATTGCCAGTTAAAAAGTCATGGTATGTGCCGGGATTTGAACCCAGAACCGCTAGCGTGGCATTTTTGGGTCGGACGTCCTAACCACTTATAAATGTCATTCGTGTACAACTTAATTTTCCTGTATTCAAAGTACGCAATTTTTTCATTTCTTATACGAAAAAAACTTTATCATAAAAATAAGTGAACATTTCGTAAATTCCTTGCAATTCAATCGTCCCTGATCATTCTGTCACGCGCTTTTCTTATTTCACCATGTCCTGTTTGCACAAGGCAACTCGACTTTATAGACTCATTATAAAATTAAGCTTTCAATTCAAAATTAGGTAATTATTTTTTTCAAAATTTTGGTTGAAAAACGCATTTGTAAATTCTTTAATCATTTTTGGCAGTCTTGGAGAATTAAAAAAATCATGGATGTTTTATTGCAAAAATATATGCTTAGAGAATATACGAAACTTGTTTCTACCTCAAATAATAAAGATTAAAATTAGACTTACAATTATCTAATCATCCATCACTCTTCCAACGAATACCTCAAATAAAAAGAATTAAGTATTAGACTTACAATTACCTAATCATCCTTTACTCTTCCAACGAACCACCATAATTCATATCTGCCAATACCCACATAGTGATTACAGTTTTGGCAATTAGACAATTCAAGTTGCCAAACTAAGTTGAAAAATGTAGCCTGTTTAACAGGGAAAGTTCATTTTCTAAAAATTTATTTGTCCTCTGTTCTTCTTGGTCTGTCAATTTTCGCTGACCCTGTAGACAAAATATATGAGTGACAATTTAAAATGTAAAATGCTCATATAAGGTCGAACTTTGTTTTATTTTTGAAGGTTGGTTTGTGTTTTGATTTAGGGAAATTTCTCTGTTATAATTAGTCATCTACCTTGAAAATTATAATTATCTATTAAAAAACGATCTTATTGGCCTCATTCCTGATCGTTTTTTAATACATAATTGTAATTTCTCCCGTCCGTGTGCATTTTGTAGTGGTTAGTAGTTTACTTCCTGTTTTTATCTATAGACCCAATTCAAAGTAGCACTGCTTATTAAAAGTACTTTTTTTAATGCTTCCGATCCTCTTCCAGCAGTCTATTATTGATCGACGCAGTTGTGCAAAACCGCCTACCCTAATCCCTCAACCTGTTGGATAACGGACAGTCATGACAATGTCAGATCAGGCTCAACCTTTTTTTTCATCACCGGCACCGATTTCTGCTGTGACCCCAATTTCACGGCTGCTTTCGGCCGGCTATTTTTCGCGTCCGATCCGCCGGGGGGTTATGTATTGAGCGAGCCGGGCCGGCTGCTTGTGCAATTCCTCCGCTGCTTGAACGAAGCCTGTAGAAAGCTTTTGTGGCGTCCTTCCAATGGATTCAACATCCTTGCCCAACCACCCGCTCGCTGACACACTTACCTACTTGCCACCGGCACCGCCATTGCAGCCTATATTTTTTTGAAACGAGATATTGCAATCCTTTCTCGACGATGACTCCCACCTCACAAAGGAATACTACAGCCAAAATAATAGATGTTACAATCACCATGGGCATGACATTTTATGCCTTTTAACCTTATTTCCTTTTATAGTGACTCTACGGATAAGCATTAGGAAGAAATTTTTAATAAATTACGTCAAATCACGTCTTAAAAGATACAATTAACATTAAATGTCACAGTTAGTTATCGAAAAAAGCTTAAGTTTTAACATGATATTAAATTGCACAAATCTCTTTATTCCTGGCAATAATTCTCATATCGTTCTTGTTACGAAAAGAGGTTAATAACTGATTAAAGAAGAAAACATTTTTCTGGATAGCCCATAAAAACTCCTACCATGCACATTATGCCGTATGTTTAAAAAAACTTATAGTTTTACCATGACATGTTTAAATTACCCAAATCACTTTATTCCTGGCGATATTTCTCGTATCGTTCTTATTACAAAACGAGTTAAGAACTGCTTAAAAAAGATCTAGATAGTCCATAAAAACACCTACCATGCACTTTATGCCTTATGTTTATAAAAAACCTCTCCTGGATAACGGGCATTTTGAGGTAAATTGACGTTTGGTATGGCCTTCACAGGACAGACCATTTTCCGGTAATAATTATTTACAACCCCTATCTCGTGGGTCGGTCCTATATAAAAATCTTTTTGCACCTAATTGGAACTTTGTGATTAAGAAATTCTTGAGAAGCAATCTCAAATCACTGCTCAACTGAGACCATTAGCATTAACGCAATATTTCCTCAATAGAACAGACTTATAGTTTTACCCTGACCTGTTTAAATTACACAAATCACTTTATTCCTGGCGATATTTCTCATATCGTTCTTATTAAAAGGCTTCTTATTAAGAAAGACTAAGGGCTGATTAAATTCAAAAAATATAATTTCTATGAGCTGTGGCATATCAGAACTTCACTAGTGATAAGAAGCACATTATGCCATCTCTGGTACAAATTGAAATTTAGACTAATGCTCTTGTTAAATAAATAAAGCATTACTTTCTAAATCAATATCTTTTTTAACAAGAAAAATAAAAACTATATTTGAATAGTAGGCAGAAGTCAGTTGGAGCAAGAATAAGGATGAAATAGTTGTATTTTAATTTAGTAATACATCACAGGTTTATTTATTAAGAACATTTCGAATAAAATATTTTGGTATGACCTACTGGGGGTAAAAAAAAACTCTACGCCAAATTATTTACCACCTATATCGCAAGTGACTAAAGGACACTGAAAAAATTTCGTTTTACTACAGATTGGAATTGTCAGATAAGCTTTTTAAGATATGTTTTTTTACTGCATCTAATTTACTTTGTGTGGTTGAATTAAACAGGATTATTTATACAAATATAATATAAAAAATAAGAATATGTTGTTTTTCGTGATTAATTTTGCCTATCTGAAGAAAGAAAAATCTTAAATCTTTTCATTTTTAAACTCATTTTCGAAATATAACTTATGGATTTAGATGCATTTTAAATCAGATAATCCGTCTTTTAAAATTCAGAAATTCTTTAACCTCTAACAAGTCAGGATTCTCCGCGGAATATATAAATCTGGCAACTTTTGCTCTTTGAAGACAGAATTAAAATGTGATTGTTTCAAAATGTCAAAATTATTAAATTCTATGTTACATAATATATTAATAATTGTAGATAAAAAAGTATATACTAAACAAATAATTTTTTAGGAAACATCAGACACCTGGAATCGTATGGAACACTTGGTAATTATATTACTTTTGATTAAAAATTAATGTAAACATGTTATGTCATAAATGTTGTAGGTAGTTGGATTGGACAAAAATGTATTAAAAAAAAGTATAAATGTGTTTTTTAAATGTTATTGTAGTTTAAATATCAACAAATTTCACAGCTAATATAAAAGTTATTAAGATATCGTGAGATGCGGTCGGGAGTGATGTAGGTTTCAGAAAAACATTTTCTTTATCGTGCCAACGTTTCGATCTTTTATTGAGATCATCTTCAGGGCTCAAAGTGTTTGTCTTCTGTGTAATTGTGCCATCCTTGTGTGTCGTGTTGAGAGTGCCCACACGACACACAAGGATGGCACAATTACACAGAAGACAAACACTTTGAGCCCTGAAGATGATCTCAATAAAAGATCGAAACGTTGGCACGATAAAGAAAATGTTTTTCTGAAACCTACATCACTCCCGACCGCATCTCACGATATCTGAATAACTATAGATTAACGGTCACTAATCTCTACACATCGCTAATATAAAACTTTTAACAATGTACATGTAGACGAGCTTTAGAAATTGTATAACCTCCGAGGAAATGGGTTAGGGGAGGAAATACACACAATTCTGACCTACGGATTGATAAAAAACCACAAATATGTATATTCGATTCAAATCGAAATGTTGCAATTGAAACTGTTGCAAGCAAATTGGCCGTTTAAAGATCTTATCTTGTACCCGTCTGTTACCACAATGCCAATTAACAAAACTAAGAAATTTGAAAGACCTAGATCATATAAGAAATACAGATACAAGCCAATACTGGGCCCGCAACGATTATGTAATAAGGAATTTTTATACGATTTCTAAATAAAATAAATATTTGATCAAATAAAGGAGTACTAGTGAGAAATATACCAGTATAGTGAAGAAAATAGTAGATCTTGTAATGTCTTGTATGTAGAATGTAAAATCAACAAAATAGATTGGGGCAGTCCAAAAACCAAGTTTTAAGTGCAATTATTCAGTTTAGGCCCGGCTGTGCGTACAGTGCCGTTCCACCAGGTATACGTTTGAAACGACGTGAAAGTGGGTGTGCACGCCACTGGATCCAGTGACTGGAATGTTTGGCTTGGCTAAGCCCTGATAAAATTTCGTCACGACGTAAAATAACATTTCATTTTTCTTGACGCCCAAGACCTTAAGGAGCCGGAGACTTTCACGACCGGGGGTTTTTTAATTTTTATTTTGATCGATCAGAGAATAAAAGAAAAAAGGTGACTATTTTCAATGTATCATAAATCCCTGAAAGGCCGGTGGTTGCCGATTTTCACAGACATTTCATAAATCCGAGGACATTTTGCAAAACGGATAAGCAAACAATTGTGTGAATGTCCTATTTAAAAAAGCTTCAAAGTCATCGGAATTCGACCTTCGAATATATTTCGAAAAGTGGAACAGCCGGATGATCACTGTTACTTTAAGGAAAACATGTTGGAATTAATACGATATTGCGAATGTTTTTAACGCTAGACCAGTTCAAATAGTTCAATTTATCTGTCTTGATAATTTTAAGTCAATTAATTGTCTATTTAATTTTTTCTCACGTCCGCAAAATGGTGATGTAATTGTTTGTTATCAGATGTAGTTTAGCGGTAAAACCTTGGTTTTCGATTTGCAAAAGACTTCGAATTGAATTTGTTGTCACCCTCTTATTTTTCACCCGAACAGTGTATCGCTGCGTATTGGCTTCTGTTCCGTACACATTTTATCAGGTATCTCCAATTACTAAGAGTGCAAAATAGCTTCAATCTTTGCGAAAATTTATCTCGACCAAAGTTACATCTAGGAATTTGAGAAATACCATTTCAAAATTGGACAGTTTTCTGTACTCCTTTATCTTCAGCCAAGATAAAGGTAGTTGAAACTTATCATGCAATTAATAATCGCTGTATCATAATAAAATCACTTTTTGTACTAGTAAAATTAATTCATTTGGATGTATGTTTAAAAGTTGACTGGTGTACCAACAGGTTTCTAAGCAATAATAACGAGTAGAAGGCGTTTAAATACTGTATTTCCAATGATTCTTGGGACATAGTCAATCTCGATAGTCATTGTTATTATTGTTTATCATTGTTATGTTAGGAATGATTTGATAGGTGATGAAAGGAATGATTTATTTGTTTATTGGTAGAGTTTTGAGCGAAAAATTACGTCATTTGAAGATATAAGTCATTTGTACAGTTTGATGAGTAATAAAGAAAACGTTATTTTTTAAAGTTGTTATTAATGTGATATCAATCCTCGTATTATTTATTAAAGCTGTGTAGGAGCTTGGATGAATCTTATAAATGCAAATTGAGGAAGTTTGCCTTTGTTCTCGGGTTTAAGAAATTTTTTGGATGTTTTGTAAAGTCTGGCTTTTTTTGCATTGTTTATGGCCCAATGAGAAAGAAGACAATTTGGCTTGATCTGTTATAAGCTTCGCCATAGCAGACATCTGCTGAAAATCCGCACTGTATACATGACACGCGCCGATTCCAGCCAAGCGAACATAGCAGGGGCAGATTACTTATTTCTAGACCGGTTGGCTGAATGCTTCAAAAAAATCCCTAACAGCAAATCGGCTGTGACGCAAACACATGAGAACATTATCAAACAAAAATCGACATGAAAGGGCAAACTGTTGCTAGACTACTGCCAAGAATACGTTAAATCGTGCAAATACATCCGAACTGTGTCCCTGCCACTAACTGTCGCCTGTTCTTGAGACTCTATTCACATCAAAGTAAACCGACAGAGAAAACAATCCCGACAAACACCTGGTCCGCAGTCGCCCTTCTCGTCTTTTTTTCTTCTCCAAACACCCACAAAGCGGAAATGTACAGTTAGGGAAGACGATATATCCTTTGGAAGCTTACAAAAATTTTGCCATTCTAAAGTTCATAAAAATATGAACTACCTATTGGCCTCTTATATATACAGCAAAACTAAATATTTGCATCAGAAGGACCTAGCATAGTCCTGGGCCTTTTAAAGGTAATATTTTAAAATGAAAGAGACAAAACCCACTTTCATATTATACTTGCCCGTTCCCTATTCCAAAATCAGACAGAAAATATGTTTATTACGTAATAAGATGAACAGCGTAAAAGTATATTTGTTTTTCAATAAGTGATTAGTTTACCCAACGAACCTTTCAAACTGACGAGCTGGTAGAAGTAACTTTAAAAGCTTTGTAGTCATTTGGTCGAAAACGAGGTCCAAAGGGTTTCTCCTGTAAGTTCCGGCTTTACGACTGCGGCTTATAAGACTGTCTCTCCATTAATATGTGTTGTAGAACACTTAAGGAAAATAAAATTAAGGGAAAGGATATTAGAATTTTTTCTGACAGTCAGGCTAGTCTTAGGTCGTTACAAAAAGATTGTCAACCTCAAGACTGGTGGAGGAAACAGTAGATCTTATCAATAGGATCTCTTCCAGGTTTGAGGACAAGGTAACCCTTATTTGGATACCAGCACTTAAAGGACACCATGGCAATGAAAAGGCGGATGGCCTGGCCAAAGAAGGTTCTAATACTGCGTTTGTCGGGCCACAACCGGTATTACCTCACTCTATGAGCACAGCGAAAGAGAGTATTAATAACTGGGGCATGACACAATTCCTTAAGGAGTGGAATTTATCCCCTGGACAACGGCAATCGAAAGAGTTCGTTAAGGTTATCAAACCAGCAGAATCAAATGGCTATTCTCTATCTCAAGGAAGGGAATTAGGAGGCTGATAGGTATCCTGACGGGCCACTGCCCACTGAGAAGACACCTCTCCGTAATGGGTATTCTACCAGATCCCTTTTGCAGTTTTTGCGAAATAAAAGAAGAAGTGGCAAGGCACTACCTCGCAGAGTGTGATAGGTATGCTAGGTCCAGATTTGAAATCTTTGAAGGAGCGTACATCGCCAAATCACTCCCCGAGATAAAATGGTCCAAAATCTTGGGGTTTGTGAACAAGTCCAAGAGATCTATGCAGGACACGTGAGCAGACCAAGTCCCGGACCTTTTAGGGATGGGGTACGAGTCTACCCAGGCATTTAACCCCTTTTGGTCGCCCACCTTGCATAATATATATATTAACAAACATGGGTATTTATCTTTAAATAATGAATTTTGATAAGCTTTACGATAGCGAAGATATGTTTTATCCGAAGACCTAATTCTTAGAAAGATTCATAATTTTAATTAAGATAGACGTGTGACCTATGAGAAGACTCGCCGACTGCTACCTTCATTCTGTTGGTTTGTGTCGGTGCCTCTCCCTGCTTACATCCCTGACAACAATGTTCAATAAATATTCTAATGTCTCTGCAAAGGTCAGTGAATACTCAATTTTGCCGACATACACATAATTACGTACAATTTAATATTGTAGGGTTTATCTTTAAACAATATCCATTTCGACTTACTTTACCACAATTCTGTATCTTGGTCGTTTCTGTTTAACTTGGACTGTCTATCCGCTGTTTGGGTGGATACCTCACTAAAACTAAAACTAATTTAAACCTCGAGGCTGGGCAGAAAAATCTTACAATTTGTAGTTGGCAAAAATTTGAGCTAAATCTTCTTGTTAAAAACAACAGGCCGTGAAAACAGTCAATTTCTTTTTCTTCAAATACAATACAAAACGCAGTAACAACTTTTGTCCGTTTTAAACTATCCCTTTTGAACGGCCGTGCCTAAAATGTACGTTTAAACGGCAAAAACAGCCGTGAGAGACGCAAGCAGGTGTCCCTGGCACCGGCCCTACAAACCTGATGGGTGCAGCAGGATTTTCTTTTACTATTTTCTTTGTCGATGGTAAAACGAAACGTCCTCCAAGGTTGTCGGCGGGATCGGAACCCTCTTTACCCTTCTTTTATTCAGAGGTTCAATAAACTGGAAGAGGTCGACTCCAGGTAACGTTCGCAGTCGGACTTAAGCCCTCAGTTCGACACTTTTAATGTCTACCCATTGGTCATATTTGGT